GGGGCATGAAATGCAAACTTTAAATATTAATTTAAAAGTAGAATTTTTATAAAATGGTACCTAATGGTACTACAAAACGCAAAATTTGTGCAAACGGTGATGTCATGCGTATTACATGTTCAGTCTATAGACGCGTAGTGTTTATTTAAAAAGCGACTACGCCACTTACTGGCCTGGCTTGAACGATATAGGATTTTTAGTCGTGTTCGCATATCCGTGTGAGCGGAAATTTCGCATACAGACAGACAACAACATTGCACATCGTTGTCGTGTAAACATACCGTTAGTGTAAGTTATCAGCTGATGCCACATACCTAGCTGTTTGTGTGGGGGTGGGGTATCATGGGAGATGCTAAGCTCTGGCCCACAGCCTCTTTCTGTCAAAGCAGATCATTAGGTGTGAGCTGAAGCCCCCGAGGCCTATGCAGGCACCAGCTAGTCTGTGGCTGTGTTTCTGGCTGGTAGGTTTGGGCTGGTGGACCTGTTTGTTATGGTGTAGCGAGCTGCATAATTGGGACATGGGGAGAGGGAACAAGGAGGAAAAGATAAACACAAAAACAGCCTACCTGTTGAAGGCACCGTGTGATGACAGATTATGATGCCTCTGGTTGCCTCTCGTGCTGCGCTGTTGATAATAAAGGAAATTAATGGCATTGTTTGGATAACTCGCTGATCTTTTAACATTTCGATACATATACATGTAGATTTCGCAGTCAGGGATTTAATGAAAAACTATTGCCTGCTTTTCCCGCAATGTGATCATGAATATATGTATGAAAATCTCTTTACGTATTCAGAGTTGATGCTGCAGTGTTTGGAATATAATGAAGATAATGAAAAAGAAAAATTAGGCCACATATAATATGTAACTTTGATTAATGATGCCCTCCCTGTTTATTGTAAAATTGCTGGATTAATATCTATTCTTTCCCCTTATGCTTTTCCCTCTCCTGTGCTCATTTCTTCTAAATTATTTTTTAAACATTTTTTTCTACTTTTTTTTCAGCATTTGTCTATAATGCTTTCTTCTTTCATTTTTCTTTATTTTTATAAAATATGTTAAGTATTTAAAGGGATAGCTCACCCAAAAGTGGAAAATATAGTATAAAGTATTTTTGAAGACATTAGATGTAAAAATGAAAACGGTTTTATTCAATACAATGAAACTAAAACAAATCTTATCCGAATCTTTTCTCTCGTGTTCTGTAGAATAAATAAATACAGATTTAGAATAACAATAATTTGAGTCGATAATGTCAGAATTTTCTATCCCTTTAAGCAGGCTACATTTTCATCTGTTGAGGTAATAATATGAAACCATTTAAATCATACAAGAGGGAGACCTCTGATGTTTTTATAATCAAAACATTCTTAGTTACTATGGATATTCACTTTGGCAATCTAGCAGCTAATGGTACAGACTGACATCTAGAGAAGGGTTTTTTTTTTTTTTTTTTTTTGGTCCGTGGAGTTTGGGAAGGGGAGCAATAGTGTTGATCTTACACGTAATGACCAGTAGCTGGTGGGATGAGTCCATCCATCTCTGTGAAGTAAACGGGTCCCAGCTGGGCTACTGCGTTCAGAATGGAAAAGGGAAGTGAGGCCGGCTTCAACAGCCTCCCTTAAATAAAACAGGCGACAGGATGCACCCACACTCGAGAGGACAGACGCACCATCCAGTGACTTCCGCTGTCATTGGTGTCAAGTCCACTATTAGGCCGCAGAGTGAATCCACATGGTGCCTGCCGTATGAAATGAGACTTCCCATGTGTTTGTGGGAGTGGGGATTCAAACAATAAATCTGTACTCCAATTCAACCTGTGAGCGATCTGTACGCCTCCAGCAATAAGCATTATGAAGGGCTGCGTTACTAGTTTTTAAGTTGTGTTGTTAAATAAGATTGAGTGCAAAGTGGTCAAACCTGAAAACGGTTGAGATATTTTGTATTTTTTTAAAGAGACATCATATATATCTCCAACAACTTTTGTTGTAATATTACTGTAAATGGCACAGTGGCTAAATAGACCAACAAATTGCATTATATTGTATAACAACATTTATAATATAGATCTTAAGATTATGCAAAATTATTATTGATTAGCTGTGATAATGAATAAATAAACTCATTAAAGAACATTGTTATTATTTTCATGAAAGACGTCATATTAGCCTATAAGTCTGAGCAGAGTCATAACATAACCTTGTTTTGACTTCTTAAATTTGGTGCAATGGCAAACAACCAGTTTAATAATTTGCCTTATTCACTTGAACATTCATTTGACTATCATTAGTCAAGTTATCCTCTCCTTGCAAAAGCATTTAGTTTCTATCTCGAACTGTAAGAAATATTGTAATAATGGGCAATTTGTCAAATAATTGTCCATGCTATGTTTTGACAGACACATTATCCTGTAAAACACGTCATTAGCATGGAAGACACAACAAGCTAATGGATGTCCTGTCCCTCAGCACCTCAGCAACTGATCTGGACAATTGTTAACCAGTGCTTGGTCATCATTCCAGTTTGCTTTCAGCAGACATATTCTGTCTCACCTTAGTGCGGCATCTTTCACATTTAAAAGAGGCCATACACTTGGCTTGCACACTCCCTTGAGGAGCTGTCTTGGGCTTGGCTTCATACCATCATTTAAAATCATAGATCAAAAACCATTGAAACCATATTTATGTTGCTCACTTGGTTTAGATGTATTTAAAAGTGTTATGATGTATTGTATTCTTTTCATGTGGTTTATATAATGGATGCCTTTTTTAAAGAAACAGCCCAGTTCCTTCCCATTTGACATAATGCATTAAGAAGCTGGATTTGCTGAGTTAATCAATCTATTTCAGAGGCTAAAGACAGTGAACCTGACCTTCTGTCCTCCAAAAATAAAAGCCCATTTCCCTTATCATGGAAGTGAGAACTGTAATTCTACAGTGGGCCTAAATATTAGTGAGGTTCAAATGTCCAACTAATAGCTGCTTAATAGATTCACCTGGCATTTTTAAACAGGGCTGCATTAGATACTTTTCACATTTTGGTCGTGCTGTTTTATGTTAGAGGTGTAACCTTTAGACATTTCTCAAAAGATGAGCGATATATTTGTAATTGTAATTCTCTGTAATTGTATTTCAGATGTACAGCTATAGTAGCCTGGCTGCGCCCTCCTACGCACTTCCGCTCAATTTCATTTTACATGAAATGAACTAGAGTCTGGTTGAACTATAGTGAGCTAAATGAAAAACTAACCTGATGCTACATTTCTGTTTTCATTTTTAGAAGGATGCTGTTGCAGAATGCAGATATTATATTTTGAATATGAACATTACTTAAATATGAGGCGTTTGTGTGAATGGCTAATGTCTTGATGAGAGTGCTGCATGAATGTAGATGTACTTGAAGCTGTCAGCAGCAGGGCTGTGCGCTCAGAGATGCAGCTGATGGAAGTGGCGCCAGTGAGCGCCGATGGATCAGATGTCGAGCATTACACAGGTAGAATGGCGCACCACAGAGAGTTCCAACGTGCTGGTAAATCGGGAACAAACTAGGGCTCACGTGATGCCGGGGGTCTTCTCTGAGGAAGCCAAAATAAAAGGTTCCGTCCATATATCAAACCTTTAACACATTTCAGTAGCTAAAGTGAGAACGTCGTTAACAATTTAAGCAAAGAAAGAAACCCTAAAAAAATCGCTCACCAAAATATAGGCTACTGACAAATTCCTTTAAAATATAATTTCTAAAATGCAATCTTATCTGGTAATTCAAAGAAAGAATTGTGACAGACGGCTTAAATTGAATGCAAATCATTTCGATTCCAGTCACATTTATTTGCATCAAAGGAATAGACGCGCAATAAATGACACTTTTCAAGCGGTACGTATGTTGTATAATATCGTCCCAAATTAATCCAGCACTTAACGTTTTTTTATGTAATGGAAATCAATTGTTTACCAGGTGCAATGCACATTAATGATGCATTTTAAAGCACCAACACACTTTAAAGTTATAATTAAGTCTTCATCACTAAAAACAAAAAAATGACAATTTTAGCGAAAATATAGGCTACACTATTATACCTCATTAAACATTCATGTTGGTCATTTGGCCGGCATTAATATGGAGCCCCATCAAATATTAATACTTAAATGCATCTTATACGTTAAATAATCACCCCCTTTCTTCCAGAAGGAATCGATAACCTGAACGTGTTTGCTTTCCGTCTAATATCGCTTATTCGTTTTGTTATTGTCTGATTTAGAAAGATTAATGCATACAAAATAAAATGAATAATTAAAGCATAAGTTAACACATGAGCACTCTAACGGATCGATGCATCTTGCCAAATTAATGTGGATAAATTCTGTCCTGACTAACATTTAAAATAAATAAATTAAAATAGTTTGAAAACACATTTCATCCAGAATTCCTTTATGTTGTTGCAATCTAAATAGCTAATCATCCATTTTTGGTGAATAAGGCAATTAATCAGATAAGTCAGAATGATTGCTTTATTCAGATTTAATTTCACAGTGTATTGTATTATGTTGACTGTATGGTTTTGGTTATGTTGTGGGATTGATCCGTCTCTAAAATACTGACAAATCAATGTAGGCCTAATTAATTTGAAATCTAAGAGTTCATCATGGTCGCGAAATATTGTTAGCCTATGTTGTATTGAAAATAGGCTATCCAAAGACAAGGTTTCTCGACAATATAGACTGCATTGTTAATATAATGTAGGCTAGCTAATTGAAATGGGTTTTTTCTTTCACGTGCGTTTTTTGTTTTGTTAAAAAAAATGGCCTGTGTTTTGGTTTAATAAATCTTCCCTTTTGAGTTACCCTGAAGAGGGAATTCCAGTGAGTTTCATTGAATAGAATCGTCGTGGATTCTTTAGCCAATTGGGTCTCTCACCCCAGAATTGGAGGCTTAATTTTACCCAGCCTCTTTGGCATTTTGATTGATGTTCCCGTGGCTCCATCCGGCAGGCTATAGCTATAAGGGTAAAGAGAGGCAGGAAAAAAAGACAATCGTCTAGTTCAGTCTTACTCACACATGCAGTCAACGCTATTAGATAACGACAAACTGGACTAAACTGCGTTTTAGTAGCTGTATGATAACTGGGGTGACGTGGAGGATCCTGTAGGCTCGCAGGAGCACGCGCCTCTCCACACCATGGATCATATGGGAGCGCATCTCCACCAGACGCACGCAGACACCATCAGTTTTGGGATCGACCAGATTCTTAACAATGCAGACCAGGGGAGCTGCATGATCGCCAACCCCAGAATGCAGGACATGGACTACGGTTTGGGCTGCATAGTCAGCACAGCCTACAATACCATGACTGGCAACTACGGCGTCAATAACTCGGCTGGATACAATGGAAACTCGTGCAGCGTTGGTTCCCTCAACGGCTCGTACAACATGAACTTGGGCGCGAATGTTAATGGGAATTGCCTTAATTCTTCGGGAGTGATCCGAGTTCCAGCGCACCGGCCGCTGAGCAGCGTTCACTCGTCCATTCCCACCAGCGCTACCACGGTGCCAAGTATGGGAAGCATGGGCACCATTAACAATCTCACGGGATTAACGTTTCCATGGATGGAGAGTAACAGGAGATATACCAAAGAGAGATTTACAGGTAGGCCTAATCGAAATCACTCTGAACTCGCAGTGGTGTTTGTGACACTGTAAAATGTTTTCATCATGTTGTAACAATATCAGTAATCAAAGGTCGAAAAACTATACGTGTGGCTATTGCAGGTTGTAACTTGTCACAACTTTTTACTTAAAAATTTAAGGAAGCAATTAGGCTACGCTTGATTTGATCACGCAGAAATTCACGGATTAATATGATTTATAATGACTTTATTGTTAAAGTCCTTTTACTTCTGACAACAAAGGACATTTTAGAACTTTCGATATAAAAATAGGCCTACTGGATATAAAGTTTAGTAAGCCACTGGTCTCGCGAATTAATAAACGAGCATTTCTACAAATATCAACTATTGCAAATTTAATGCAGTAGGCACAGACAAATTAACATCCACAAATTGTTTTCCCTATGGGGACGTAACAATAGTCGTATCAATATAAACGTGCCAATAGTCGAGGCTAATGTTGATTTATAAGGCATGGCCATTATTGTTTTAGCATTATGTAAAATAATTACACATTGGAAAGTGTGCAGTTGTTACCTTAATGTACTATTGACTTAACCCTCTTTGATTCAGGGAAAATAAATAATTATATTTTTGATCATGCATTCTAAAAAATGCTGGGTCAATTTTGGGTCAAATATGGACAAACCGAAACGTTGAATTAAAAAATGCAATTAATAAATTTAACCCAACAGCTGGGTTTGTCCACATTTCACCCAAAATTGGGTTAAAACAACCCAGCATTTTTTAGAGTGTGATAAAATCTCTTAGCCCCATTTAAATGAGGCACATCTTTTTTGTTTTACAGTGTTTTTGTTGATGTTGTTTACATTTAACACACGTCATGAGGAAATGCCAAAAGATCCCTGTCTGCTTGCTTGGCTGAACTTATTCGATATATTTCGTGATTGTTGCATGCTTTTTTAAAGGACAAAAGTCGCCTTTCTCCTCTGGAAGTCTCATTTGCTTCACACTGCTTGGCTGTGGCGTTTTGCTGATATCTTCCGCTTGATTTCAATCTGTCTCTCAATAGTGGCCCTCTCACCGTTCACTGTAACACGCCGTATAGGTCACCCGTATCAGAACCGAACCCCTCCGAAGAAGAAGAAGCCCCGGACTTCGTTCACGCGCCTCCAGATCTGCGAGCTGGAGAAACGCTTCCACCGTCAGAAGTATCTGGCGTCAGCTGAGAGGGCAGCCTTAGCGAAAGCACTTAAAATGACTGATGCGCAGGTCAAAACATGGTTCCAAAACAGAAGAACGAAATGGAGGTGAGCTCTTCTGATCTAATCATGGTTTTACACTCGCATGTAATGCATTCTTTTTCGTCTAACCACTAAACTCAGTTAAGTATTTTGTTTTTATAGCAGCCTACTCCAATGAGGTCAGTTGGGTCAGTCCCTAATGCATTCCATTGGTGGTTTGTATAAGGCCTGTTTATGCAGTTCACTTAATATCGAAGCAATCCAATCGGTACATCCATATTATTCAATTTGATCTATTCATATTTGAATGATGACAATTGAATGTCCCTTTTCTTTCTCAAGACTTAATTATGGACTTCTAATGCATTTTTTTTTACTACAGCTCTTACTATTTTTTAACAATCTGTTTGACCTAACTTCAGAAACAGACCTGAAAAATTACAGAAATTATGCTCTAATTTTGTAACCAAACTTTGCTCTAAACTCTTATTTATGATTAACTGAAGATGGATAATTGATGTTATGATGATTTCATGTTCAGGCTATAACAAAAATTATTTAATATTTAATTAAATATTATACCATGAAAAATAAATCGTATTGCGATTTGGCTAAATAAGCGTTTGACGTCTGACATCTGAGAACCAGAAATGTAATTTATATGATGTTTGTATATTATATTTATACATTTACAGGTCTAGCATAGGCCTGAAATATGCATAGCCTTAAAAAACTGAATTCTGCTGTATTTTAAACTATAAGCTTTAAAATATAAGCCTTGCAAAAAAAAAAGTGCTACTGGGAACTTTTATGGGTTAAGAAATAAAAGTTAAGAATAAAAGTTGACACAACGTATGACGTGCAGTATAGGCTACTGTAAGAATTATTTAGGGAAATCCACGTTATGAGGTATTGGCCTAATTACAAAACGATTGATAATATTTATGTATGTATTCTTTGTAATTAAGATCATATATTGTATTCGTATTCTTGCTGTTATTAGTAGGCCTATGTATGACTGGAATCCGCGACTAATGACTCCTGTGATCCACGTCACACAGGCGGCAGACAGCAGAGGAGAGAGAAGCAGAGCGACAACAAGCGAACCGAATTCTTATGCAACTTCAGCAAGAAGCTTTTCAGAAGACTATAAACCAACCTGTTACTCCGGACCCAATCTGCCTTCACAACAGCTCTCTGTTCGCACTTCAGAACCTTCAGCCCTGGACTGAGAACACGGGGAAAATCAGTAGCGTTCCCAACACTGATTGAGATGGGCAGACTTTTATGGACGTGGGATGTACAGAGGAATATCATTGCTTTCTTCTTTCTAATGTAAAATTAGTCTTTCATTTGTAATATGCAAATTGTACAAAAAAGTCTATTTGATGGCTACAATCGTTCAGATAATCTTTTTTTTGTTTTTAAGGAACAATATGCAAAACATATTTCGTAACTCAGACATTCATTTTTAATTTGTATACTTCCAAAAGCATAACGTATGTGGTAGGCTAACGCGTTTATAACGTTTAACTATTAATAGTCTCAAAATAAATAAAATAGGCTGTTGTTAACACATAAACGAACGTACGAATCTTCGTACGAAACGTACGAAGCTCCCAAAAGCCTATGTAGGTCCAATTTAAGTAGGTCTGCTATTAAAATGTTTAACTTTTCGCCCAAGCCTTATCAAATTATCTTGCAATTAAAGCTATATCCACTGAATAAATTATTACTGACTATAGGAAAAAATCGTGACAGCTGAAAAAATAAATTGGCCATATTGCACATTGCGCAAAGCACGTATGAGAAAAAAATCAGGTAAATAACGCAACCTCTGTTAGCCTAATAAGGTAGGCATCGTTATGATTAACAGGCTATCCGTGTTGTCATTGCCAGGATTAGACACAGATAGCCCACAACGGCCTCACTGTATGAAGACTGAAAAGCTTGCACCTCTTTACTCACAAATGAGTGAAAACGAAAGAGTCGTGCATGCATGCGGATTTTCATGCCATAATGAAGGTGATTAAACCATAGGGGTGAATTCAGGTTGAGAGGAACGTTTTTGCCAAAGGTGTCCCAATCAACCTGAATTCAACATATGTCTACATGATGAAAAGACACCGGCTTTAACGTGTAGCCTAAAGGGTGCTCTAATGTGCACTTTTCTGAAAAGCGTAAAAACTTCCATAACTTCATAGGCTTCTTGGAAGAATGAGAATAGCTAAGGCCAATCAAGATTAATTCTCACTTATTTGAATGAACTGTTTCCAATTGTAATCAGCTAATGCTGATTAACTTAATTTTATGAATATGAATAAAGTTATTATAAAGTGTTACCAATTCATTTTTTTTCTTCATAATTGTTGGCCTAATATACGCCATACGCTTGCATTGAGCGATTGCATTTTTTGCACGTTTGTTAACACTTTCAACAAATTCGTGGATTAAACATTAGGCTACAGGTAAAAATGGGCCAATGAGTCTGTACATAAATGGGCCGGCTTTCATTTTTTATGCTTGTGATAACTAAGTGAGACTTATTTTTTCACCATAGCCTGAAGACGGAAGCGTGATATAAATTAAAGCACTTGATATGCAGAAATATGTTGTCGCAACTTTCCAGAAAAAATATTCGTTGTCAATTATGTAATCATTTTTACATTATTTGTAGTGCATTTATGTTTTTAGCTTTCTGGATATGTTCTCGGGAATCTAGAAGCAGCATTTATTTTGTTCAGATAGGCTCTATATGAAAGAGACAACGCCGAAATATCTGTGTTCAGTAGCCTAACTCCTGTAGCTACACGTCACATTTTACGCACTCAACAGTTTCTCAAAGACATCAACTTGGTAGCACTGTATGCGTATTATTTGTTATTAAAATATAAGCTTATGTGATACAAGGTTTTTATTTGTCCTTTATTTTCTTCGAAGATGGCGTGACCTTTAAAATCAATATTTTATTATAGCTTGTTTGATATAGGCCTAGCTAAATATGTCATGTCGCAACCTGGGTCTTTCTGTAACTGTTTAGCGCTTTTGTTGAGTAACCATAGCAACACCTCACATGGCTTGTCATATCTCTCATCTAAGTGAATGACAGTTTTGGTTGCATGATAAATGTGTGCCTTGGAGAATAGAGAATGCGTGTGTTTGTGATATTGACGATGTGTAGATGTGATGGTGTTTCTGAAACTAAGCAGAAGCTTATCCAACGTTTCATCATCTCTTCCGAAATCGCATAATGTGTCGCTTAAAACCTTCCAGCATGTTAAGAGATGGAAGTCATTTAGCGCAGAAACATCGGGCAATGAACCAGTAACAGTAGGCTATCTACGTTAAGATATCTCATTCCACGGTGGGCTGGAAATAATGGCATGCGATGAGAGTTTACATTAATTCATTTAGCAGACACTTTTATCCAAAGCGACTTACAAATGAGAACAATATAGAAGCAGTTAAACTAACAGTATAGGACAACAAAGTGCTATGACCCCTCTCAGTTTAATTTAACGCAGTTTTTATTATTATTATTATTTTTTAAGAGAAAAGAGAAAGTGTTTAGTAGGCTACTGGATCAAGTGCTGTCGAAAAAGATGGCCTATAGGCTACGTCCTCAGCAGTTTCTTGAAAGTGGCTACTGACTCAGTAGCTCTGGTTGAACCGATCTCACGGGAATTCGTACGAATTTTACGAGGTGGCTAATTCGTAACAATTCATACGACCTCAGTCGTACAAATTAGTACGATTTTAGCTAAATCGTACATATTTTACGAATTGGCCAATTCGTATGAATTCGTACGAATGACCTACCCCTGACCCCGCCCCTAAACATAACCGTCACGTGGGTTTAGACAAATCGTATGAATTCGCACGAGTGAGGTCGTACGAATTAGTACGAATTAGCCACTTTTTAATCACTCGTACGAATTCGTACGAATTGGTCGTGAGATAGGGTAGGTTGGGCAGGTCATTCCACCAAAAGGGAACAGTCATCATGGTAATTGGTAAAGGTCCGAGTCTGAGAAAGAGATTTTGTGCCTCTTTGCGATGGTAGGCTACCACAAGACGACATTCGCTAGCAGAGCTCAAGTTTCTGTATGGCACATAAGTCTGAAGTGAGTTCAGTGCCAGTGGTTGTTCTGTAGGCAAACGTCAGTGACTTGTTTACGCGAGCGGCAATGGCAACCAGTGCAATTTTGTGAGGAGAGAGGAGTGACGTGTGCTCTCTTCGGCTCATTAAAGACCACTGGCTGCAGAGGTTTGACGTCAGAGCAAGCTGGAAGACCAGCCAGGAGAGCGTTACACCTCTAGTTTAACTCTATGCCCACTTTAACATATAAAGATGGAATAGGCCTATTCCTGATAATGATATTTATTTTTCTGTTTTCATTTATTTTTATTTTTTTAAATGACGTCCCCGCAATCAACCCGATCACGGCGTGTTACCTCAGTTTCCTGGATGCAATTCATTATCTTCATATCGGCAATACAATCTCCTAGAGAACTTGCCTTTTAGATCAAATATATCCGTAACAATCTGTGGCTGTATGCCTCACATTGGGTATGCCAACCTTATGGTAAATAATTAGAAATTAGGCTGAATCAACTGTTGTGTAAGTTGCGCAACTTCCAATTGTCTGAAGTTAAGAGGAAGTTGGAACATAGGTTATCGATTCATTTTAAGACAAAATTGGGGTCAAACTGTTACTACAAATTACAACAGAAGCAAACTCAATTGATTTTGTATCTTCAATATGTCCTGAGTAAGGAAGAACAAAAAAGTCCCGAAGAATCCCATAGCGGAAAGTTTCGAAAAAGACCCAAATATAGCCTACTCTCCGCCCTATTCATTCTTCTCACGTGAATAGGGTATTTTTTTAACCTTTTAGATATCACCATAAAAAGTACTTATTTGATTACTTGCATCAAGACAAACAAAAAAATGTATTACAAGTTTTTTTTTAAACTGTTTGTCAACATTACCCATGTAATGCAGCATAATTAGGCTACTGCTATTGCATCACAATAGGCTATAGATCTAAACATTGGATATAACCAGGTGAAGATGTCTTGTTGAATCTTGTTGAAATCTTACAGGAAAAAAAAACTATAGAGGCAAACAAATGTCAGCATAAGGGGCAGAGATTCAGTCATTCATTCGTTTTTATTTGACCCATTGCTTTCTGCATTCTCCTTTCCCGTGTCTCATGTTCTTCCTTCAGACTCATCCCCCAGAAACAGTCCCACGGACAGCCCCAAACCCAATCTCTGCTATAAGAATTAATAAAGGGTGTTTTTTTTTAAAGTAACCTACTTCTTTGTGCCTCAATCATTGCTCATGGGTAGCCTAAATGGGTTCCATTGATATTTTACTGTTAGCAACAAGATTCAACCAGACATCTTCACCTGGCTATACCCGTTTAGATCTGTTGTGGTATTTATGCAAACCAGCATAATTATATCATGCACCGATTGGCCATGTTAACAATTTGAAACTTAATACATTTTTTGTTCGTCTTGATGTAGCCTAACCAATCAACTGAATAGACTATTTGGGTCTTTTTAGAAACTTCCCCAAATGAATTTCGGGGCTTTTTTCTCCTTCAGTTGATCAGTTGAGTTTGCTTCTGTTGCAATTTGTTCAACCCTTTTTTCATAAACATAGACTGCACTGACTGGACTCAAGTATTAAATATTGTAATGTTGTAGGCTACACATAGGCTAATGTCTGAGAGTGCAAATTACAATTAGGTAGGCATAGGCTATAAATATAAGAACAAGATTTTTTTTTTATTTTTGTTATGTGGGTACATGTGGCTTGTCAATTTCAAAACAGTTGCAGATTTGATTCAAAGTAGCCTTGCATGATGCAGCACGTTTTTGTTTTCTGTTTGTGTTACAACGCAATTAAAGGGACAGCCCTGATTCACTTAAAAAATGTAAATTGTATCCCTTTAAGAAGAAAATCGCGTAACATTACATCATATAATTTTACTTTATATAATTCATAAAATGTCCATTTATTTTTGCAGTCATACCTAATAGTCGGGTACCATCACAAAAGGTAATTTTGTAGTTTTGAGTATGTTCTGTAACATTAGTAATTAATTTCCCTGTCTGACAGGAATGTATTATTTCGTACTAGTATCGCTTTGAGAAAACAACTGCATGCAAAGCAGATACAAATGTGCATAACATTTAGATTCTGCACTTCTTTAGCGCCGCCTACACCATTTCGAGTGCATTTGGTGTCCCTAAAAGATGACGTAAGACACGTCATTTTTCCTCGTCTAAACATCCTTCAGTTGTGTAATTTTTTGCAGCGACAAGGGAAACGTGCACAACAGTAAAGCATTTATCGCAAGATGTCTCTTTTACGTGTTTGCTGCTCGACAGCTGGAGGTTTTGTTAAGAGAGGATTGTTTTTAGAGTCGACTTATCCTGGTGAGTGTTTATTTAATGCTTGCGTGCCCAACATGCGTCTACTAACGTTACTAACGTCACGTAACGTTACTTATGTCACATTGATCTTTATAATTTTCAACCTTCTTTATATTGATTACTGAGAATCGTGAGTCTTACGAACAGCGACAGATTTGTTGAAACATTGCACTGCTGTCTCTACAGCATATCATAGGACAGCAGGATATGCTTCTGGTGGGGTGACCAAAGATAAAGAACCTTTAAAGAAAGCAAAAACGCCCCAAGGACGCTTTGACATGGACGAAAATGAGCCCAAATCTAATGATGTCCTTAAAAGTAAGAACACACGACAACTCTGTTATACGGTTATATGATCGTTGAATAAATTACATAAAGGACAGCGAGCATAAGGAAGGATAGGAACTGTTTTAGGCCTATGTCTATTTTACAGATGCTGTAAATCAGATGACATATTTAAAGTGTATAATTAATTATGACACAAAACGTTTGTTTAATTTCTCCTTTAACAGGATTTCCAGATGATGTGAATCCAGAAACTAAGGAGAAAGGTGGCCCCAGAGGCCCTGAACCGACACGATTTGGTGACTGGGAAAGGAAGGGTCGTTGTATTGATTTTTAGATTTGGCCTGCTAAAATACTCAGATTTATTTATTTTACCATTTGAGTCATTTGAATGTAATCATTAATTCAGCATACAGATATAAATAAGATAATTTTTGAACCTAGAAATGATGTTCGTCTCCACTGATTATGTGGGCCTATGTAATAGTGTGTAAGTGTGAAAAAGTAGTAATTACTTGAATGGATCTGTGTAGTCTTTAATTTGCATTGTGATAAGAATCTGTATGTGTATATATTACTGGTGTAACAGTTCGATACATATCACAATACTGAACTCATATAATATTATTGCTCCAAGACGTATGTTAAAAGGTTAACAAAAAATGTACTGTTGATTAAAATTATACATTTGATGTTACATTGAGGGTGTACAAGAATAAGCTTGGATTTGGTGCTGGTAACCCAATGCACTGGACAATGGTGACACCATGATACAAGTAGTCATTATTCTGAAGCTGAAAATACAGAGTTATTTTAGATGAATATGCTTGAACTCTGTCACTGACTAACTGACTAGATATATTTAAAACAATGTAAGCCACTTTTTACACAAATAAAATAACACAAATAACACACACACACCCACATATATATATATATATATATATATATATATATATAAATCTCTGAGAACTTTTTTCTCACGCAGTAATTTGATTTTGGGTGAACTTCCACGATAGCCTATATTGTCACTATCCACAATACATATTGTTGCATTTTTATATGAAAGAGGGTAACAAAGTGTCCAAAAGGTCTCTCTAAGGAATAAACATATTCAACCATAAAATGTATATTAATAATTTATTTTGTCACATTTCAAACATTCAAAGTTTTGTCACAAGGACATTTATGTGTTTAGTGTCGTATAAGTAGTCATTTTTATTTTGTGAAAATAATATACTGTTTCCCTAAGTATCTGCACATTAATTGTTAAGGCTACAGGCAGTACCACATCAGCCTTTATGCAAAAACTCTGCAAAGACTACAAAACTGAACAGTGGCAGTTTGGCTGACATGTGGCAGGGGATAATTCAAAGCACATTCAACAAATACATTATTCTTTGCTGTCTCATGTGTTTTACCATTTAATATAGCGCGATAAATAGTATTTACCCCTCCATATGGCCTGTGCATTATGAAAGGTCTTATTAGATTGTATTTAAATATTAAAATCATACAGTAATTTATTTGATATGTTTTTTTCTAAGTCATTTTTATGTTTATTTAAAGTTTTAACATTTTATTTGTAAAATTTGTTGTTAGAAATTGGTATGATTTCAGAATGTAGTTTTTAAGGTTTAATTCGTAAGAGTTTATTATTATTATTGTCTATAAGCTCCTGTCCTGTCAGGGTTAAATATTTAGACATGCTTTCGCAAACAGGGTTGCAAGCTTATAATGTTAACGCTACCCAGTTAATAATAGGTTTGCCGAAGTAAACGATAGTGTATTTATCAGGTTTCAAACAAATGACAACATTCTACATTACCTTAGCAACTGTTTACACATAATCATAACTTCACCTTTCGCGTCACACCGGCTGCCCAACCTTCCTACACACACATACGTCACTAATGACGCAAAAGTCACAGTGGCCTCAAAATTTGGATTTCACAAAGCAAAGGTTTGACTTTTAAAATGATATAACAGTAATATTTCATTAAATTTGATTAAATGGTCTCCCGGTTCCCCATTCGCTGTATTTTTAAGCTATTTTATTATCCCACTGTACTTCGTCTCAGTTTCCGCTTCCGGTCAGTTACTCCAATCGGCCATATTCCGCCGCTCAGTCTCTACCTCTCAACACAGTCGCCGCTCTGTTGCCTTCAGCCCATCATAGTTTCATTTCACAGGGGATGGTCTTCCATTTATAACGACCCAAGTGAACAGAGTGAATCGGAGGAAAGACCGGTGATTTTATCCAGAGACGTTGACAGAAAACGGTCCGAGATGACGACTCGATCGGAGAGGGAAAAGGCTCAGAAACTGAACGAGCAGCATCAGGCCATTCTGTCCAAAATGCTGAGAGAGGATGATAACAAGTACTGCGCCGACTGCGAAGCCAAAGGTGAGATGATATAAAAAAAAATAAAAAAAATCCACTATTCCTTCCAACTCGCGTTATATGTTTTTATCACCTGTACGCGACAGGACTCTCGTTGAACAGCCCGTTCAGGTTTCTCATGCTTCACGGTCCTGAGTCACCCGGAGAAATAAGGCCATAAATGTGTCAAAAGCTGCCTATTTTGACAGCATATCCCATATGAATTGAATGATGTCTAGACCCTGACGGCTTATTGTGCTTATATCCGACGAATCACTATTCAGCCATGTGTCTTTGAGCAAAACCATTACTAATGCATGAATGGAAAACCAGCCTGGAGTTGAACTAATCAGAAGGTTTAATACTGTCCGCCTGACGTTATATATTCAGGTGGTTTTATAGTGGTGATGCTGATTTACCTATGTATGTGTACCGGCTTTGTTGATGATGACACAGATGATCACTGTTCCACATCTCCACCCGTTTCATAATGGTTCACCTTACACTGCATACCTACCCTATTATGTGTTCACAGGGACTTTGTAGCTAAAAGTGATAAGTTATTTGACTATTAAGCACAAGTGAAGTGAAAGCAGTTTTTTTGTTCTTGGTCATATCAATATCTTTCTTTCTTCAGATTGTAACCTGGTGACCGCAACTGGTTACAGTTACAGCTGTTGAAGTGGGTGGTCTCACTGTGTTTAGTTTAAGTGTGCTCACTTAAAGGTGGGTAAGCGATATTTCAAAAATGCTGTTGGACATTGTTAATATTTGAAATGATAAACACTCCCCTCTCTTCATTGGTCCGCCTCCAAAACTCACCATCCACTCCTAACCACCTTCGGTCTCGAAGGAGTCGTCAGTGCGACTCTTAGTAGCAGGCCTTCATTACGCACGCAATCCAAGAGTGGATGTCTGTTTATCATTGCAGAAGTGCAACAAAATAATATTTCACGGAAAATAAAGTGCAGAGGATAAATGAATGACAATGAACCACAAAAAATGTATGTACAGTACACTATAGTAATTACAAACAAGAGTTTGTTGTTAGTTGCCAACATCACAGCAACTCCAGTCCAGACAATCAATGACACTCAAAACCAGTGTTACTCACATGTGGAACGGAATCAAAGCAACGTCCACGTCTGTTTTCAGGCCTTCCCGTTTAGCTCTCTCCTGCGCTGGAAAGCTTCTCTAATATTAATGCAAGCCCTAAAATTCTTTCCTGATCACTTCTTCATTTTCAAATCTCCTCCTTGCTAGTTCTCTCTCTTCCACTGTTATACGCCCCCAATAATGCTGATTGGCTACACGTTTGTTTGTGTGTCGGTGCGACTAACTTCCAAACAGCATTTTTCAAATAATGCTTGCCACACCTTTAAAATAGTCATAAATGTATCAGTACAGTTTCTTGGTGCTTGGTTGTTGTTATACTTTTTGGAATGTTGCAGTTGTTGTTATAAACTATACATTCATGCATATTATTTATTCATATGCCCTCATTATCTTTAATCAAAACAACCTTTACGATAACCTCAACAATAAAATAAAATTTTAGATGGACAAAATCAAGTTCTGCCTTTTTTTTCTTGTTTGAGAATTCGTTGCACTCTGAAATGCATCACAATAAAAGACTATCGCAACTTCCGTTTCATGCCAACTTTAATGTGTGAAGCATGTTAATGTGTGAACTTGAAGACTAAAATAATGGTCAGTTTTTAAACTCGTCATTAAATGAAATTATTTTCTAATTTCCTGTTTTCTATTTTGTAAGTGCATGTCATAGATCTTATTGTGAACAATTTATTTGTGCACATTATTTAAAAATGTTTTGTCCTTATATCTTAATGTCATATCTCAATATTCCAGTTAAAATGACTTCTTAACATTTATTCCTCTTAAACCCGCCATCTTAAAATCCAATCAACAATCGACAAAGAACCAAGTGCCAACCTAATTTTTTCCACATAATCCATTGCTCTTGGATGTTCTTTAGAATACAGAAGAAATTATTGGTTGCTATTTATTTCCTTTTTTATTTATGGCTTTAATACATCATTGTTACATTATATTGTTACAAAGTTGCAAGCAAGTCCTTTACTGTCACTTTGGTGTATCTGTGTGCAGTTGTATTTGTAACATGGAGCTGAACATTGAGAACAAAATGCATTGTCATTTCCTTGCTTTTTTGTAATTGTGCCCGTACAGTGGCAGTGACATTGCTATATTTGCTAGTTACAAATCTTACCAACAAATCCTGATGCAAGCTTATAGGTTGACTGCCACAAATTCATTTCAGATCTTTAAATTCTGTTTTAATCCCTAAACAATGTCCCATTGGAAAGAGTACATCCTGGGTGGAATGTGAACTAAAGGTGCTCAATGTTCATGGGGTTCATCATAATCCATCAACAAAACCCTGGTAACCATGTTTTCCATTTCCACCGTCTGTTCTGTTTCTGTTCTTCCGCCTTTCCATAAAGGTCCATTATCTCCATACAGAGCATATGAGAATATTTAGGCAGGAGGCTGTCTTTGGTTCTGCGATGTCTCAGGCCAGCAGCTTCTAAGCTCAGCTTTCGTCTTAACCAGACCAGTTTCATCCACTCTGAGCTCTCCGGTGTCTTAAGTGCAGCCACACCTCACTACTCATATTGCCTGGCCTCTTTCTGCCTCTCTCTGACACGATTCTAGTCCTGATGGGTGGAGTTTTGTTGCTTCATTTGCTTATGAATGACAGCCTTGAAAGAGTGTTGAAGTCAGCATGAAATCAAAAACTAGCCTATTTAAATTACCCCAAAATCATCATTTACTTAGCCTCATCATGTCTTTCCAAACTTGAATGACTTTCTTTCTTCTGTGGGACATAAAAGAAGGTATTTTGAATAATGTTGACCATTGACTTCCATTGTATGGACAGAAAACATTAAACTGTCCCAAATGGCGCAGTAATCACTGTGTGTACTCTACCATCTAGTTTTATAAAGTTATTTTGTCATCCATTATCAGTTGAGAGTATGTAGTGCACAACATTCTACACTAGTTGTTGAAACTGCAACTTATTCCTTTTGGAATTTTCAGTGTGAACACACTGCTCACATCATTCATACTACAAAATGGTATAGAGCAGTGCATTAGTATAGGATTTGGGATGCAAAAAACTTTTTGCTTTTCCACAGAAAGTAGGTAGATATCTGATATAGTTTCATTTTCATTTCATTCTGATACAGATATATGTTTTATTTTTAGCCCGACTCAATCTTTAATACTCTTTCGTGGTCTTATTGTAAACAATCTGTGAACAATAATTCAGGTGTGTGTTTGGGGGGTGATTTTGTACATAATATATCAAAATGTAGTTACTCCCTCAGAGGCTCCATCTGTGAATTAACTTTCCTGCTTGGTTGATATGCAGGCTATTGAGATTTGCGCATTGTTA